TACTTGTATCTTAGTGGCTTTAGTGCCTTGAAGTGATACTATTAAAAAAATGGTTTTCTCGACAGTTTTTTTTTTCTAATGAGGAGGATGGTTATACAGCTGGCAAATCTAAAATCAAATCCTGTCAAAAGGCGAATGGAACTCCTCGTAAGCCTAATGGCCATCTAACACAATGGAGTAGATTGGGTTCCATTTTTATTTATGCAGACAATGCATTGATTACACGGCATCGCTGAGCAAAAGGCTTTCTAAGACTGAAGTTAACAACCAGGGCGGAAGGTATTCTGATGGAATCAACAGTCACGGGTCCGTGACAAAGGCAACCCTTTAATTTCCCGGACATCGGCTGTGGTTTTCAGATGGACTCCAACAGATCTACTTGGCTAAAATGCGCTACACATAAATGAGCATCTCTCTGGCATTCAATTCATATATTTGAAAGAAAGAGCCGTTTGACTCGATGTAATGGTCTATCAAGTTTGTTTCGCTATATCAATTACGACTGAGTAGTGAGTTCAATCCTCTCGGTGCCCCATACTTTCTAAGTTGTGCCACAACTAAGCTATGCTCAGTAAATCACTAAAGGGATAGCCACACTCCCCTGGCTTCTGCTGGTGTCATTTCAAAATAATACTAAGCTCAAACCTTAGGGGCCATCCCCCTAGGCAGTACATTTCCTTCGGTAAGGGGCTAGGGTCATTATCCAAAAGAGTCATCATCCAAAAGAGGAAGCGTCAAGAGGGTTGGAGGCATTTTTATACTGTTTTGTTATAAAAAAAAAACACTTTAAACTGAAATTGCGACGTGAGCCCACTTAAAACTACACAAACAGAGAAATGATCAAATCCTCAAGTAAGCATAGACGCTACGTCCACACCCGGTCGTGGGACTAATGATGTTCAGGAGTAGGTTCATTCTGTTTATGCTCTCCCTATTATACCGATTCCATTTGCTGTCACAGACCTTTCCCCCCTCCCGATTTATACCTACACGTTTTATATTCAATTCCGATATCATCACTGAAGCTTTTTATTTTGTGATTTTAGTCTCCAATTCTTTTTATTCTTTGCAAATCTTTTCATACAATCCATATAAAAAATCAGTTGATTTTTCTCCTTTGTCTTGTCTCGTACATTTCGTTCAGTTGACAATAAAAAAAATATATTTAATATTTCAACGCGCTTTACATTTTACGAATCCTAGGAGTTGATGAATGAAAAGGCCAGTGATTGAAAAAGTTGAAGCAATACATTAATCGGTTGATCATGTAATTCTGTTTTGGAAATAAAAACTTAAATACGTTAGAAAACATTTGAAAGAATACATTCCATGAGCTTTCTTAATGTAAAGAGCATTTAGTGAAATGACAAATAAGTACTTTTACTAAGCACAGATTTCAAAGTGACTAATGTTAATGTATCTTAGTTGTATAGCATCTTCAAACTAAAACCAGCGTTTACAATATTGGTAAAAAAAAAAAAGAATTCGACCATTTCTTCTATTTGCATGAAATATAAATAATGATCGTCGCTAAAAATCAGCAACAGTTTTTTTTTGTTTTTTTTTTACAGAACTTTTACATTTATGACCTTAAGATTATTTTCAGTTTTATTCGTGGATTAGATGTACCTTTTTCTGTCAGTCAGTGATAAAAACGACAATAATACTTTTAATATTATTGTCGTTTTTATTTTGCGAAATTTAATAATAATCCAATCTCGACAAAAATATTAACGCTATTTTAAAAATCCGAACTCCGAGATTCATAAAAACTGTTTAGATGATACATTCCGATTTCAAGAAGAAAAGTACACTCGATGTAAACTCTGACAGAATTCTTTGAATGTTTCTGAACAAAAAGCTTTCCATACAGAAAAACAAAATTTACAAAAGCGTTTATTACGAAGGTTTTCTGAAGATATATCCAGTCCTGTTTTTTTTTTACACGAATATGATTTTTTTACAAATACATTTATAGGATGATTATATGAATGAATTACATGCATTTTTTTCTGAATAATCGTAAATAATATGCACAATATTTTGAATTATATATAAAAGTCTCAATTTATTTTTTTTTCTTTTGGTTGCTCTTTTTTTCAATTTTATTTTCATTTGCAGCCTGCTTTCTCGGCCATCCCTACTCTTTTAAAAAAATAAATTCATATTTTTAAATATATATCTTCTTAAGCTGTTGGCGGTTTTTCATCAAAAGTAGACAGAGTTTAATTTTAGAATGTTAGTTTCTGCGCATTTCTCGCTTGTAGTAAATTTCCTACCAACTTCTTGTTTAACCCTCTCATAGCAGTGGCATAGACGTTGCCAAAGCGTAACATTGTCAAAACCCCGTTTAAATGATTATAGGTATATCTTTTAATTTTCTTCTCGGGTATCGTCTTGAGTGTTCTTTCTTTGTTTTTATAGGATATATAAAAATGAAAAGTAAAAATATAAAGATAGTATTTTACAAAATCAAAATAAAAGGCTAATATTTAAAAATGAATATTTAAGTTTCAAACCTCAAAATATGCAAAAATAGTTTTAATATTTTAATAGGTTATATTTCCTTTTATATCATTGATTGTCTGAAGCACTTTATGATTTATGTTACTCTTCTTCAACAGTTTTTCCACATTTTATACAATGAACAAGAAAGTTCATATAATCTTTGCTTACGTTTCTGCCACAATAATTGCAGACATACTTTACTTATGGGATTCTAATTCACGCAAATATTATGACTAAAACGAGAAACTCCATATTGTTACTTGGCAGGTGTATTCAGAAAGCTACTTGACTAATAATGAATATTTGACTTTCCCCCTTACTAAATATTAAGGAAAACATTTGGTCTCCACAGTTGATATGGGGGTGACTAACCATCGTATGCCCAACTCTTCTGTAGAGTCGTCATGTGCAACAGGCCAAGAAAAGGGAATTGAGAACATTTGATTTTGAAACAATGCCAATTTAGATGGAAATATTTAGACTTTCCTAAATATCGTTATTGATGTAAAAAATTTTAATGTAGATTTAAAAGCACACATATTAAAAGTAATAGGACTAAAGTGACGCAAAGCCAAAAAAAAGTAAAAAAATAGGAAAAAAATAATAATTACTATAGAACAGGTAAAGCAAAACAGAAAAAAAAAACAAAGGAAAAATAAGATATGTCAGAAATGGTATCATGATATTTTCCACTGAGCAGTTTTGAAAAAAATCGCACATATTTTACATAGATAAAGCCCTTCGTAAGGTGTAGGCTATACTTGTGAGTACGTTTTTTTGTATTTCTTTAAGGCATTGGCTACCTAGGATTCCTTCAATAAGTCTATTGGAATCTTTTCCAATCAATCCGAGTGCTCCAACTACAACTGAAATTGTCCTCGTGTGCTACATTTTTGAGATTTCCATTTCAAGGTCCTTGTATTTTGATAGTTTTTTGAAGATCTTCAAAGATACATTGCAATCCGCCGGGACTGCTATATCAATAAGGACTTATATTTTGACTTTGCGCTCTCTAATCACGATGTCAGGGCGATTGGCTTTGATTGTTATGTCTGTGTGTATTGTAAAGTCCTATAAAATTGTTACAGATCCTATCTCCCTAACTGGGTCTGGGTGGTGTTCATAGGATTTTTTTGCAGTTTCCTTTCTGTAAGTGTTGCAGATTTTCCAGTGCAGATATTGGTTCATTCTATCGAGCCATGTTTTATATTCAGTGAGTTCCAATACCGCACAACCTGATACAAAATGGTCAATTATTATTATTATTATTATTATTATTTCAAACATGAAAGATACTCCAAATTTTTATGCATTAAACAAAATGTATTACGCCTGTCGGCCTGCGCATACGAATAATATAAGTAAAAAAAAAGTGTCCTGTATACATAGTAGTCATCCGTTTATCTCTTGAGATTACGGCATCACACAGGTTAATAAAAAGTATGTGCTTTGATGAAAAGACTAAGTTGAATTCGCCAGGACACGAGCGATGGCATATGAAACATATGGTGTTGATTTTTCTGGGTGACAATACTTCTATAGCCTTTTCCGTGTTTGGCTTTTTCTTCCTCTAGATGGACTACCTTCCGGAGCTGACGTTCTCCATCTACCCAATATATATATATATATATATATATATATATATATATATATATATATATAAATTAAAGAGAAAAAGCCGCAAACGTTCTTGAATATTATGTAGATTTTTCATACATTATTCTGCATATTTTTACTTCAACATATTAATTAAAGGAATGTATTTTTTTCTTCTCATGTTAAATCTTTTAACCATTGTCTTTTGTGTGGAGTAGTAGCCATCTCACTTCATTTTGGACTGACCAAAAAATTTTCTGTAGTCGTGCATTAAGGGCAAATTACGAAACAGAAAACTACACATTCTTTCTACGGAGAAATGGGCACATGGCCGCGTGGTTAGAACGTTTGCATTCCAACCATATGTCTCGGGTTCGAATCCTAACATGGTCGATTCGTAGGGACTGGTGGTGTCTTTTGTGACTCTAAATAATTTTTTCCTCTCTCTCTCTCTCAGGACTACTTAATTGGTGTGTTACTATTGCACATCAGGATGTATTGACATTGTTATATAAATTGGTACATCAACTTTTTACGGATAAGTGGGAAAATATTCCAGAATTATTCCTCTTTTATGTACCGTATAATTTAGGTGATGGCGGTTCTCCATGACTTTCTCGCACGTAGTTACTTTATTTCTCTATACTATATCTCTCACTTTCTGTTCTGTCATCCATTTACACAAAAACATCTGACAGGTTACTCGTAGGTTTCCTCTGCTCTTTTCGAAGCCTTCCTCCCTCCTTATGTGTCCCAGAAATTCCAAGTATGAATTTATTTTCGTTTCCATTTTCCATAAAAATGTCTCGTTGCTAAAAATATTCTCTCCTTGGTTTCAAAACAAGCTTTTCTATAACCAACCCTCTATCAATTCATTATTCATCTTCATCAGGACTTACAGCCATATCACGGTAAAACGCCGGTCCGCATACGATCACGGAAGTTAAGCAACGTTGAGCCCAGTCAGTACCTAGATAGGTGACCTCTTGTGAATACCAAGGTTCTGTACGTTTGGACGTGTGGGTAGAGTAATTCATTGGAGACCCAAGTTCCAATTCTAGTTCGATTCGTTATATTCGGTTATGCGCAAATATACTTGAGAAAATCTATGAACCCATCTCTTCTCCCCCAGGTACGGGTTAATTAGTAAGACTTGTAGCGATAATTCATTATTATCTCCAAAAAATATGTTCTAGCTTTAAATAATTTGCAAAAGAATGATAAGAACACATATCAACCAACCAAAAATGTCTCATTCGTCCTTCCTCGTTATATGCCGCAGAAAGTTCAACTGTCTTTTTCTGATTCTAAGTATATGTGTATTTTCTGTCTCCATTTTCCATAAAACTTCCTCGTCGCTAAAATATTCTGTCCTTGGTATTCGCTGCATTCTTTTTTATACACACCCCCCCGTCAGTTCATACTCCATCTTCAGGCGAGCTTACGGCCATATCACGTTGAAACCTTTGTTTCAACGTGATATGGCCGTAAGTCAACAAAGTCGAGAATTGGTTGAATAAAATTTTCACAAGTGACGTCAATTCTGATGACAGACGGAAGATTAAAGTTACTTATCCGACACGTGTAATTCTCTTCCAATGCTGTCAACTACAGGCATCTAAATACTGAACGGATATTTTCACTTGTTTCTAAGGAGATTATAGCGTTTAATAAAATATTAACTGATGAAATCTTTCAGCCTGCACATTTTTGTTACCAATGAATATTGATAAAGGTGTCTGTGTAAGTTCAGTAAGGGTATCGCTTCCGTGTTTAGTTTTTATAAGAATAAGAGAATATAAATCAAGTGTGAAGAGGATTTGTCGCTCTATATCAGCCATATTTTATTATGGATTGCCTTTAAGATACAAACAATAAGCTCATGTGTTTGGTGTTTAAAACAATACATTCCCCGATGACCGATTATTACATGCCTAAGAGAGATGTTTTGTGTGTGTGTGTGTGTGTGGACATAGCAATTAGCCCAGCATGATGACAACCAGATACAGGCTTCAGGTATTAAACTGACTGTCACTATGCAGTGTTGATTCCAACGTCGACATTGTATACACCAAGTGCATTCCAGATGTTTTAAGACCTTTGCTGGTGAGACATTCTTATTTTTTTAATTTCAAATACAAAATCCTAATATCTTTCAAACTAGGATCCTGTGAATTCAATGCCCATTTTGTAGCGCTGCAGTTACTTCGCAAAGACCCCAGTGAAGTCATGCAAAAAGAATGTGTCCAGAACCCTTATCACAAGCTCCTTTACCATCACAATGATTTCAGAACGACTCCCATAGGTTATCCTTCAGCTTGAGGATAAACCAAAAGTCTAATGGAGGAAAGGTCTGCACTGTAAGGCGTGTGAGAGACAGTTTTGATCAACACAAAATTTTATTATATAGTAAACTCCAAAATGTCTTCACTTTCCGACTGCATTCTGCAAACTAATCAACTGTAACAAGCAGTGTTTAGTGGAATGTGTTCAAAGAGCCGTGACAGCCGTCTTCTTCAATCTGGAATACCAAAAGTTGCCCGGTCAATGTATTAGATAGATAGATAATGACATACTCTCATTATAATGATCTAAAACAGTTATAACTGCCTCTCCTCATAAAGTCTGAAAACTTCTGAAATGACTGACGTAGTTCTTCAAAAAGGTCAAATCTCCAATACTGGACACTCTTTCCTATATAGTATAATATATTTTAAACAATATACAACATTTCTACTGGCAGCGATTGTGGAAAAGAATGTGCCTCAGCTGGTGGACTGAAACGTCATATCAAAGTTCACACTATAACATCTACTGCAAAAGACACCTAACGTTGCCATATCTACACAAGAGAATATATGTCTATAAAAGTACAAGAAAGGCACATACCTGCTGACCATACTCAAGCGTAATTTGAAATAGAGTCATCGCATATATAAGGCAATTGAGAAAACTTCCGTTTTGACATGTTACGTCGCCGAGTGAGGCCAATTAAACGGATTACCTGTATGTGAAAAGTGACTTGGGAATAATGTATTTTTAGTTTTAATGTATAGTGTTTTCCTTGCATAGAGTAAAGAAGCTACTTACCCGACCAATACAATCTTAACCTATTCAAGTCTAGTGTTAAACATCATATTTCCCACATACCTTTATAAACTGCGACTCTTACTGCTTACTCATCCCCTTCATACAACAGGCTCTTCAGTAACTCTCTACCTTCAACGGCTCTTGGGCCTGAACATTAATTAAAAAATAAAATAAACAAATTTCCCTACTTCATCTCTGGAAAAACTAAATATATAAATCTCGAACAAAAACTCAAATAATTTTTCATCACAGAGTTTGTAAAATTAAACTATTATAATATAACAATACATACATTATTTATAATAATATATTTTTATATTAAAAATTTATTATTATTCAGTATGTTACCAATATAGAAACAGCGCGATTATTTCTCTGAATAATATAAGTAATACTTGCATTTGCTTTCTGTCTTTTTAAATAAAATGTGCCATTTTATTGCAAATCATATTTATAGAAAGAAAAATATATTAAAATATCTAGAACTTCATTTTCTTCTGTTATAAAATATGAAAGTTATATTAATTGACTTATAAAAAGATAGCATGCCTTATCAGCTTTCCTAAAAGAAAATGTAAATCTTCAAATTTAAATATAAAATTCAAATACATATTTTTCTAGTCTCTAAGACATCGATAGGTTAATATCTGTCTCCATACTGTATTCCTTTTGTGATGTAAGCTCTGAATAAGCGCTAGTATATTTTCAGTTTAATTGAAATAATATTATTCTGAATATATATTTATTAAACTATAACAATTGATTGGCAGAAGAAAGTGAAAACATGTATTACTGAAGAAATTAAGAAAGAAATAGTTTTTAAGCATTAAGTGGGGGGCAATTGTTAGCAAATAGAGTGTCGAATTTAGATGCTGTATTTATTATCAGTTTATGTCGTGTACTCGCATGTTTACACCAGATATTGATTGACAGCAAATGTTCGAAAGACTCCAGTAGCATTTTTAATATCACCGTACAACTTAAAATCGCTGAGATCAGGGTAGTCTCAGGTTTTTTTTTCTCAAACATCTAATGCATCCAATCTTGATTCATGTGTTTTTTTTGTTACGAGTCAAGTTGTGTCAACTATAATGAACATTACCACCACAACCACCATGTTCCAGTATTATCGCAATTCTTTTGCATGAATCTGGTATTTTTATCAATTTTCTCTTTTGTTTGATTTTCACTCTATCATCCATGTCCTTCTTTCTTTGTTTACGTCTATCAAATTTTGATATTCTCATTTGTAAGTGGGTAGGCGTTCAGGATGTTAGAGCCTAAAAGTATCCGATTATAAATTATTTATTTTCAAAATGGTATTTAGTTTGTACTAACGACTTTTATTTTCATGATTGAATACAAATCGTTTGTACAGATTTCTGCATGTTAGACCTACCTACTCAAAACTTCTTTTGTATTCATTTAATATCAGATTATCAAGTTCATTTAGAATGTGGTTATGTCTCATCTCTATCTTCAGGAAATGTCGTCATCTCAATTTATCTCCTTATTAGAATCATTTTCCCATTATTTTACTAGGTTGCATATGGCTGATCTCAGCCAATTCTTCAACATAAAACTCTAATTTTTATCATTCTTTATGTTATTAAAGTTTTTCGTATTGCCAGGTACGTCTGGAGCATTCCCAATACGCATGTAATTACAAGTACGACTGTCATTTATATATTTTCCGAAGCCCTATGATAAAAATCATGACTTTTATATATCTAACAGCAATATTCAATGCATAGACTTATTCAATGGCAGACACGCGCCCCCATATACATATATATATATATATATATATATATATATATATATATATATATATATATATATATATATATAGTGTTTAAGTCTTTTTTATTATATCCTTACTCTGTCCTGGACATTGAGTTCTACCTGGATTCTATCCTCTTGGAATTTTTATTAAAAAATTGATATGTATGTATGCATCTATGTATATATATTTTTATATTTTGCATATGTATGTGCATATTTACCACTAATATTAGCTATATATATATATATATATATATATATATATATATATATATATATATATAGTCTTGTGCTTCTGCTATGTATTTAGAGATTCTTGATAACATCTAAAGAAGAATCTGCAACGTTCTCGATCCTGATCCAGCATCTCGTCCTCAATCACTCCCCCCCACCGTCATAACGTAGCTTCGCTGTACTTTTTCTATAAATATTTTCATGGTAATTGTTCTGATGTTGAATTCATGAATTAAGTACAGTACTAGATTGGTAACCAGGTTTTTATCCTTTTACTACTGAAATTGTTAGATGTAACCGTAAGTTCTATGCTAATAGTTTCTTCTCTCGCACGTTACGATTTCTCTTCCAGCTTCGTGATTCGTGCTTGACAGTCAACTGTGATCTTCAGAAATTTAAATGCAGAATTACAAATGACAACTGTAATATAAGTCACAAATTGCCCCACATAGATAACGTAAAGCATGCACAAACAAGTAAATACTATATGAAGGAAAGATTTTACAAAAAACGGGGTTAAAAGACAGACTATATAGCCCCGTTGTATCTGTCCCGTCACTCCTTAGGACGCTTGTTGAGTGAAATGTCTTCTGTGTGCAGCCAAATATATATTGACTATTCTCGCCAAATTGCTATCACATGCACCTGAAGGGTCACTTAAGAAATCAGTAAATTCTTCCACTCAAAAAGGAGATAATCACCTATCAGATTCAATTTATGCTGCGTTGGAACAGTTGTGACTTCTATTAAGAAATACTGGTATTTTCTCTGGATAACGTGTTCATTGCATTGAAAGTAAAAGACATTTTTTTTTAATTTAAGACTCAAGGCATCATAAACATTCTGGTTTCTGCTCCATATCGGAAATTATATATATATATATAGATAGATA